AAGCATGAAAAATACTCAACTTAAAATAAAGACTTAAAAAAGCATTAGTAGTTCTTTCCTTTGTAGGGAAGCTGTCTGTAAGATTTCAACTGCGAGACTCTGATTTGGATCCTGCTCTACTCCTTCCGGAGACAGTTTTCCAGACAAACCCAGCTGTTCTGGGGAGGAACCCAGGGGAAGTGTCTAGTCCCCTTCATAGGCCCAGGACAGATACCCCACCAGAGCCAGAGCACCCCTTCTCAAGACCACAGTCAGCCTGACCCATTTTATTGCTCAGAACTAACAAAGTCTCCACATTCCTAAGTCCAATGAAATCATTTAAAACCAAACTCTGATTTTTTTTCTTTCCTTTTTTTTTTTTTTTTTTGGTGGGGGATGGGGCTGGGAAGACACTGGGAATTGAACCCAGTGCTTCAAGTATGTTAGGCAAGTGCTCTACTATTTAGATACACCTCCAATCCCTCTGATTGATTTTGAAAGTTTCAAATTCTTCTCTCCCCTGATTGAGGAAGCTTATTTCCTAAAGGAATAGGTCTCACCACTGAGACAGCATCAGAATCCTCAGAGGAACTTGTTAAAATGCCAGTATCTACGTTATGTCATCTCACTTGCATTCTGGTCCCATTATCCTTGCCTGCATTCTAACAAGCTCCCAAGACAATTCTGATACTGGAAGCCCCTGAACATCACTTTGGGAAACCACCCTTGGAAGGAAAAGGTACAATAAATGGTACTGCTCATTCACCCAGCTATATCCCTGAGTTAATAACTAGTATAATGTCTCAGGCACCTCAGGAGATCCAGAGATGGATGGATGGAGGTGGGGAGAGAAGGAAGGGCTGCACAAAAAAGATGGACACAGGCCAAGAGAGTTCCCAATTAACCAAGCAAAACAGGCTGCAAAAAAGCATTGCACTTCTTATAAAAACATCTCAGAAAAATGTGTCAATCCAAGGCTGAGTAATTTTTAACAAGGAATTCTCTAAGGGACAGCAGAGCATCTGTAACTTGGAAGACATGATCACAGGACAGACAGACCAGATATGGGCTTGGGAGCCATGAGCTGCAAGTGAATGAAAATGCATCCAATTCAAAATCAAATAAACGCGCCTGGGCCCACAGCCAAGAAGAATTCTTGGACTGGACTTTTATCAGGGACCTAAATTTTAACCAGCTGGAACTTTTTTTTTTTTTCTTCCAAGTACCACCCTATTGCTTTCTACCTTTTGAGATGAAGTATTTGCCTTAAATGGGAAACTTGCACATCATTGTAAAGATGATGCCAAAATCCTGGTTTCCTGAATTGCTGAAGGTGCAAGCTTTGTGGAGGGTAGAAACTGTTTTAGGCATAACATACAAGAAAAGGTAAGAAGTCAAGAAATGTTCCTTCCTCCCCTACTGCAGGAAAAGCTATTAAATAAAAATCTGTAGGAGTAGATTCCTAACTCCTTGTTCCAAAAATAGGCTTCTCAACCAGCAAGACTAGGAGAGATGGGGGAACCTTGGTGCAAGTGAATGATATAATTACAGTTTACCCATCACAACAAAGTCATCCCACTATTAAGAAACAAGAATTAAGAGCCAGTGTAAATGAAGGGGCCAGCCCCTCTGGAAGTTTTACAAATTGTTACTTCTCTGAGAAAACAGCATTTATTATTCAAAGAGCAACTTTACCTGGCAAGGGCCATAAGAGATTTTTTTTCTAGGAATTGAGGAAGTGTACCCACAACTCATTTCTAAAACACTGAGCTGTGTTCAAGATGGTATCAGTCTCTTAATTGCCCCACAAATAATAGAGAGGTTGTGAAACCTGACCACTTAAACCAGGCCAGCTCTTGGCTCCTCTGAGAACAGCTTGAAGGGTCTGTTAGCAGAGCTGCTGAGGGCAGACGGACGGGTAACTGGGCGGGTGAGCGGGCAGGCTAGCTAGCTACAGCTACCTCGAACATCCTGGGAAAATTCCCATTCCTACAGGGGCAAGGGTTCATGAACAAATGCTCCCTTGAAGAACAAGGGGTTCACTCACTCAACTGGTCTTCTACACCTAGATCTTGCCCCTCCTTCAGGACTCATTTCTGTACCTTGTTGTCCCCTCAGGTTCTGAGTGAAACTCAGATCCACAGGAAGCCCTCTCCTGTGTGTATCACATATAACTGACCCTTACATACCCATATTAGACTATAAACAATCCCAGAGCTGAGGCTGACATCTACAGGGACCCAGACATGAATCAAACATCTAAGTCCCTGTAAACCAGTATTACTGGAGCCCCATGCCAGCAACTGCAACTTCTGGGAAACCTTACCTAGGGTGGTGGGGGTAGGGAAGGCTTCCTGCAGGAAGTGATGCTAGAGTTGAAAGGGGAAACTGAGGAGGCACAGAGAAAAGGAACAAAGGCAGAAACAGATGCAAAGACCTTCTATGGAGAGGACATAGGCACCTGGTGCTGAGATCTCTCTCCACACTTCGTAAAATCTATCTCAAAACAGGACTTAGCCTATAATCCCAGCAAGTCAGGAGGCTGAGGCAGAAGGATTGCAAGGAACTTAGCAAGACCCTGTCTTGAAAAAAATTAAAAAAAAAAAAAAAAAAGGCTGGGGGTATAGCTTAGTGATACAGCGCCCCTGGGTTAAACCCTACAAAAGTAGGAGGGAGGATTCAGCAGGAAGGCTGCAGGGTCTAATTGGGTTCAACCTACCTTTACAGGGTTCCCAGGTTCTGAAGCCACCAACAAACTAGTCTAAAGACACAGGGTGAACAAATACTAGCTAAGCAGTCTGGTGAAAACCAAAGAATAAGCACCTGCAGGAGAAAGTCAAAGATATGGCATTCCTAGAGGGCTTCCCTGGTGAAATCACCTGAGCCAAGTATTAAGCTTGGCAAGGGATTCTTATGAAGGTAAAGGCATCCAGGGAGGAGGGGAAGGTATGCCTTTGTAAAAAGGCATCAGGAGTTAGGGAACAGGGAGGGGGATGCAAACAGGATGGGTAAACAGGGTCCACAGGATACAGCAGATGGAAGTTTGAGAAGAGACTGGCATCTGAGGTTCAGCCCAGAGGTCCCCATGCTAATCCAAGAAGGGCATGAAGATGAGGATAAGGTAAGGACTGTGGAGTCAAGGCAAAAGCTGTTGAGAGGATCACCCCCAATAAGGCTCTGCAGAAGGGGAAAGGAGATTAGCATTAGAGAGAGGTGACTGGGATGAGAACCACCATTAATTCTGTCGGGGGTGTAGATTTGGGGAGGGCCACACATTCCCACAGGTACAGAAAACAAAACCACCATCTTGGCTTCTTCAGAGCACTACCATCCCCACAACATTAAAACTTCATAAGCAGTGTATACTGGCACATGAAGCCAACTAGGCAACAGCAGAAAAACAGCAAACTGGACTGATCCACCTAAACCATGAGTGACATGTAAACTCAGAATAAAATACCTGTGATGCTGTTACAGTTAGTCAAAAGCCAAAATCTGTACAGATCCAAAATTTTAGCAGGATGGATAACACTAGACAGACTTAAGAAAACTTGGTATCTATTAGAAAAAGAGCAGTGATGTTTTACAATAGAACAAAATAAGAAAAAGTGTTTTCCTTAAATGGGAAGGAATGGTAGAATTTACGCTAAATTCACTAAGGGTGGGAAAAGTCAGGTACATCAGCTATTGGGGCTAGGGACATCCCAGCTAATTGGCTCATACCTGGTTTTCTACACAATTTCTTTATATGTGTGAGGCAAGTGAGCAGGAAGCATTAACCTGTGCCCCTGGGCAAGGTGTCATGGCCTACCTCTTATCTGTGCTGAGGCTTTTCAGAGTCTCCCAGAAAAGGTAGGACAACCTTGGTCTACAACTACCCCCATACCCATCCCTGGGACTAGGGAAAACAGAAATCACTCATTTCCTCCCACTTTCCAGATGAGTAAACAGAGGCTTTTGGGGCCTAGGAACAGAGTCAAAGTCAGGTACCTGGCTGTCAGAGTGCTAAGCCTGTGTTCTCTTTGGAAGTTTTAAAGCGTGAGTGCCCCTACCCGGCGGCTGCCCTGTGGAAGGCACTGACCAGACGAATAGGAATCTCCAGGTCCCAGGGCCTCCCAAGCCCAGGAGCTCAAAAGCCGACCCTGGGTTGAGAGGCAGTGTCCCGGCGCACATCTTTCATTCCCAAAGCCCCACCGCCCTGACAGCGTCAAAGGAGCGTCCCGTTTGGGGAAAAGGGTTCCAACTACACGGCGAAAGTCTGGGCATCTCTCCTCTCCTCACGGGCACCTGACTGAAGTGACAAACTCTTACTACCCTTTCTTTGACCATAAAAAACACCCTCACCTCGGGTCTGGGGCAGAGATGGGGATTCGGGTAACAACCGTGAGATTATTCGTAAGACGAAAAGTTAAACGGGGAAGCAAAGTTTCTCAGGAAGTTTGGAGTCCGAAATGGGGTAGGAGTAGGGTGACGACCCTAGGCTAGAAGGAACAAAGGGAACACAACAGATGGGTGCATCGTTCGCCAGCGCTCCAGGTGCCCTCCCTGCCCGCCCTGAGCCTTTGCAGAGCTGGGAACTGGAGGTCCGGGAGAACCCCTCATCCTCTCTGAAGCTCCCCGTCATCCAGACTGTAAGGGGATCCCAGCTCCAGACGGCGCAGCCCTGGGACGGAGGTTCGAGAACAAAGGGTGGGGCGCACTCCCCCCGCCTCGTCGCCCCCTCACACCCGCCCTCTAGAATCGGACCCCAGCCAGCGGCCGCGCCTCATTAGCAACACAAAGCCAGAGGTCGGGCGGCCCCTTTCATCCCGGCTGGGGCGGGCGGACACGCGACCCAGGAGGGGAGAAGCGAGGACGGCTGAAGACGCTCTAGGACCGGGATCTTGGCGGCAGACTGGACCGAGAGCAAATAGGTCGCACGGGCTTGTCTGCCCGCGAGCACCTGTGCGCGCCGCGCCCCTGCCTCTCCCAGCGCCCCCTGCTAGTTTGGAGACCTCAGAAACCCGCCGTCCTCGCCTTACCCTCCAGCCACAGGTGTCGGCGCCCCTCGAGCGGCCGGAGCCGCCGGCGGCAACGGCCAGTTGCGAGCCATTGAGGCAGGCATTGACAGTGAAGAAGACAGAACAGAGCTGCAACCACGGGGCCATGGCCGTGCGCTCGCCCAGCCGGGCCCTTCTCCGAGCCCCGGCAGCCTGCCGCTGACCAGCCCCGAGTGGGCGGTGGCAGCGGCGGGGAGCGTGCCGCACTGAGCATGCGCCGCCGGCCTACGCCCCGCCTCTTCCCTCAGGTCCCGCCCCCAGCCTCAGTTCTTGCGTACAGATCCTGCCCCTCTAGACTGGCCATCCAGTCTTGGCCCGCCCTTCTGGTCACTACCAAACTGCTGCTGAGTCTCTGGCAATTGCAGGTTTATTCCCCTCGCCTAAGAATTTTTTTTTTTTAAACACAGAGGATTTGTCCCAATGATGCCTGCTCCATACAAAAACTTGGAAGAACACAAAGAACATAGTAATTTTTAAAATAATTTAATAAGCACCTGCTATGTGCCAGATCCCTTCTTGTGTCCTCCCAATCACATAAGGAAATGTTAGTATTATTGTTATCCCAGTTTTAGGAGTAGAAAAGTTAGCTCGACTTCACATTTAGAGAAATCCTCACTCTACGTTTACTACCAGGACCTCAGACAAATGACTTGCTTTCTCCACAGTACTGTTTCCCCCATAAGCCAGAATAATAAGGGTAAGAATACTCATCTGGGGAGGATTCTTTTGGTTAACATATAACAAGGGTTCAATAACTGCTCCAACCTATCATCAACTAACTTGCATAGGTAGGGTCACTGAGCTAGTACCCATTAATCCTGAATTTAAAGTCAGATCTTATTGAAAACAATACTCTCGACCACTACAATTGTCAAATTTACCCTTGTGAAGTGGGTATTATCTCTGGAAGATGAAGCTGAGATCCAGACAACTGGAGAAAACATTACACAGATTTTCACTAAAATCCTCCCACCTCTTTGCCTCATATCTAAACACTTAAACCACAATACTTTGTCCCTCTGGGTTGCCCCCACCCTCATCTAGGCTACCACCTCCACCTCTGCAACAGCTTTCTGAATACTTTTTCTGCTTCCACTTGTATCCCTATAGTCAATACATTTGTTCACACTGAAATCAGAGAAATCTTCTAAAAAAAGTAAATCACCCAGCAAATGGCACAGCTTAGTGACTTGGGAGGCTGAGGCAGAAGGATCACAAGTTAGAGGCCAAACTCAGCAATTTAGTGAGGCCCTGAGCAATCTAGTGAGACCCTGTTTCAAAATATAAAAAATGGAAGGAGATCAGTGGAGAAGCATCCTGGGTTCAATCCCCAGTACCAACAGTAAAATTTAAAATAAATAAATTTTTAAAAGTAAATCAGACTACTGACTTCCCTTGATTAAAACTCTTCTGTGGGGCTGGAGATGTATCCCAGTGGTAGAGCACTTGCCTAGCATGTGCAAGGCCCTGGGTTCAACCCCCAGCACTGTAAAAACAAAACAAAACTCTTGTGTGGTAGTTTTGTTGATGTTGTTTGGCAATTTTGTTGTTTTTTGGGCTTTGGGTTTTTGACTAGGGATTGAGCCTAGGTGGCACTCTACCACAAAGCTAATCTCCAGCCCTTTTAATTTTATTTATTTTTATGTATTTATTTACTTATTTTTGCCTTGCTGAGGATTGAACCCAGAGCCTCATGGATGCTAGGCAAATGCTCTGCCACTGGGTTACATCCTCAGGCCCTCTTTTGTTTTATTTTGAAACAGGGTCCTATTAAGTTACTCAGGTTGGCCTTGAACTTGCAATCCTTCTGCCTCAGTCTCCTGAGTTGCTGGTATTACAGATGTGTGCCACTGTGCCAGGCTTTCTGAATACTTGTATCCCTATATTCAATACATTTGTTCACACTGAAATCAGAGAGATCTTCTAAAAAAAGTAAATCACCCAGCAAATGGCATAGCTTAGTGACTTGGGAGGCTGAGGCAGAAGGATCACAAGTTAGAGGTTGTTCTTCAAAGGCTACTTAGAATAAAATCCACACTGGTCTCCTCTCCTATATCATCTTGTCTCTGACTTCACCATCTGGCTCCAACTACACTGATCTCCACCCTCCCACACATAGACCTTGACTCAATCTTGGTCTAGCTGCTCAGTAAATGTTGGAAACTATCACCTTTGTCCATCCAGCAAGGCAGCCTTCTCTGCATAACTCCATCTAGGCCCAGAATCCCCTCTTCTTCTTGTCTGGTGTGGACTAAGCTCAGCTGCTTCTACCACAGGATTCAGGCACTTTCCATGATGGCTCCACACATGCTACACAACTTTGTACTTAAACCATTCACAGACTTTGAAGTGGTCCCAGCTTTGTCTGTGACCCTTATGTGAAAAAAGAGGACCTTTGGTAATACTGCAGAAGTCCTAGGGATTTGAATTCAAAATAGTTATCTGTGAAACCAGGGAGTAGGTCTGGTTGGAACTCCAGGGCTGGATACCACACACACACAAAAATAAATAAATAAATAAATTAATTAATTAATTAAAAACCACACTGGCATTATAGCTAGAGAAAGAGAGAATGAATGGGTGGTCCTAGGTTCTCTAAACAGCAGCAACCACCCCAAGACCTGGGGATGATTTCCTGTCCATGTGCACAGCTGGACAGAAATATTCAAGTTTCCATCTCACTGCCAAGGCATTCAGAAATTCAGACAGATCCAGTGAAGGTGGGCACCACAACATTTTTGGTCATCCAGAAGGGCCATGGTCCACACAAGGAAGCTGTTGGAGTAGCCTTCTCTAAACAGACCTCAGGAAGCACATTTGTTGGCTCAGAGCTATATCCATCCTCTCTCACACTTGGTATACCTCTCTGTGTCATTCTGAATCCATCACAGCTGAAGATGTCCAAGGTCAAGGTGCCATGGGCTGAGATGTGGCCGGGGCTACTTGGGTGTTGAAAGACAAGGAAACCATGAGGTTACTGGCTCCTTATTCCATATGTATTCCTGCTTATATACGCTCCATAAATTATTAACCAATCCCATGGTGAGGAACTTCTATTATAATTAGTTGCCGCAGTCTGGCTGGGCACAAAATCACGAGCCACTCAAGCAGGAACAAACTTTATTTCCAAAACTCCCACGAATGCCACGCATGCGGCCTTCTCCTGGGACACACTACACCAACAGGAAATCCCTCCTCCGGAATTCCCTCCTACCGCACTTCCCCAACCAATGGGAACTCTCCGGGAGTCCAGTTAGAGCTCCAAAGTAGCAGGCCTAGGCAGACAGCAGGGGTCTAATCTCCAATTGAATGCACATCTTAACATGATCATTATCATCTCAATGGTTTGCTGGGGTCACCTTTCAACCAAAAATGCCATGTGTCATTCCTACTTAGCTATGGCTCTCTGCATCTCCCTGCTTCTATTTAATTAAACAACAAGCAATGTGGCTTAGGGACCGTGCCTGTTAGGTTGTCCAATACAACATATGGTCCTTACCCGTCATCGGATGAGCTGACCTCTAGGCGTCAGCCTCCTGTCTTAGGTTGGTACCACTGCAATTGGATCATACCTGTCACTGACTACCAGTCCAGCATACAGCCATACTTGTGGATAGGCCTATGCACCAGTGGGGGGGTGAGGTTCTTTGCCTCACCTCTGTTAGCCCCCAAATTTGGCCTTGGTGCCAGTGGGGGGGTGAGGTTCTTTGCCTCACCTCCGTTGGCCCCCAAATTTTGGACCATCACTAGTAGAAGGGAGGAGGATACAGAAATGCCACGACACTAAGCCAATTGACGGCTCCTTTGAAAAATTGTACCACCGGTGACACCATCAGCAAAGATACTCCAGCACTACCATAATTTGCTGTACCAACAGAGAGTTCACAATGTATACAAGTGATACATAGTCCAGGCAAGTTCTGCAAGCAGTTCAAAGCGGAGGAATCTATCAATATGTCCATTTCCTCCCAAAGTAAATCGACTCCTTGATTGAGCATTACTTGTTGAGTTATTATTCATTGATGCATCAGTTTATACAGTTTGTTGTGATAACTATCGAAGAAGCTGTAGTTTGGTTTTACCTTTGTCTTCACCGGCACTGGGATGAAGATAGGAATTCTGGCAATGATGCTAAAAAAAAAAAATGTAACATTCCAACAGGTACTAAGAAAACAACTTTCTGAACAATTTACATTATCCTGAACAGAATTATTAAATATAATGAAAAGGAAAGGTGAAAGTAAACAAACAGATCTGTTAACCTCCTTATTTGTACACATATTAAAACAATCCTCAACAGCTGTTTACCCAATTTAAATTAAACCATTAAAATCACGTGAATAAAAAAAAATTCGGATTCATTTTTTCATGAGCGCTCCTCATATATGATATATGGACATACACACATACAGACATACAACACAAAACACAAGTGTGCACACACACGTACAACACATAAGACAATAGTAAATGCCTTGTAGCTTTACACAGGTGAAATCTCCATTGCAATGTTTAAAAACTCCACAGTCAAAAAATAAAACTGATCAGAAAAACATTAACCTAGGTCTGTATGAGCTCAAAAAATAAAATAGAACTTTATGATGTGGAAAAATGCAATAATAAAATAGATGTTGAAAAAAGCATCCTGGTTAATCACTGTAGCAGATGTAAGAATAGCCAAGCTGGAGCTCTGGATATCAGCTGTTATGGATTTGAGTCAAATCATCTTCTTTTTGGTCTGTAGAAATCGCTTTGGTTAGTCTCTCTGGAATCCAAATTGGCTGCTGTTCTCCCTGTGGAAACACACAAACAGACCCCCAACTCCAGACAATCACTGGGTCAGGACCTTTCCATTGTCCTGTTAGAATATCCTTTCAAAGTACCTTAGGCTTATGTACATTTTTTGGATACATATGCCTTTCCACAGCACTAAGCCCCGATGAATCCAAATTTAAAAAGTTTAGAGTAAAAAGGGTTATTTTAAGTTTATCTTTGGGGGATATATACCCCTTTCCAATTCCCTCTTTTTGCTAAAGTACATTTTAATAGTTTGATGAGCTCTTTCAACTATGCCTTGTCCCTGTGGATTGTATGGGATTCCTGTTATATGAGTAATGCCAAATAATGAGCAAAATTGTTTAAAAGAGGTAGAAGTATAACCAGGACCATTATC